GGAGGGAGGGAGGAGGGAGGGAGGGAGGGAGGGAGGAAGGAAGGAAGGAGGGAGGGAGAAAATCAAGAATTCAAGTTGTGTGTGGAGAGTCTCGGGGACAGGAGACGCGCAGGGGAGTACAGCAGGGCAGGGTTTGGCTGGGCTCCTTGTTCTGCTGCACTTGTGAAAACCCTCCAAGTAGGGCTACCATTGCCCCATTTCACAGCTGGGGAAACTGAGGCTCAGAAGCAGCCTGTCACAGTCCCACAATTGATTCATGACTGTGTGGCCCTTGGATTGCCTTAGGCCTCACCCCAAACCCTGTGCTTTCAGCCACAGCTCTGTGCACCACGTAAATATAGGGGCAGAATGAAGAGCCCATAGGCAGCGTGGGAAAATTCCCTAGGGGAGAGGCTTCTGTGTTTCGGATCCCTTAGGAAAAGAACCTGCTAGGAGAACGCCCAACACACACGCATCCTGCAGACTGGCGGACAGCGCTCCCTCTGCCCTCTGCCCTCTGCCCCCTGCCCCCTGCCCTCTGCCCCCTGTCCCCACACCAAGGAGTCTAGCATCACCGGGTCCCACTGTGCCCGCACCTGCTCAGGGTCCATGTGCTCCTGGCTGGGGTTTCAGATGGGGCCAGCATCCCAAGCGTGAAGGGTCTYTCCAGGTGCACACTGGGATCAACCTTGCTGGTCTTTCTCCTTCTCTCCCCATCGGAGACTCAGACTTCTGCTCGCAGGGCACAGGACTCAAGCACGAGGCCCAGTGTCCAGAGGAGGACACCAAGTGTGTCACTGGGGCAGAGCCAAGGTCTGAGCCCCGAGCCCCAACCCTCAGCACCGTCTCCTTCACTGGGCCACACGAGAGCCAAGACTTTCCACAGGAGGGACCAACCACGGGCCACTCAGAGATGTTCCAGGAGGTGGAGGGCCACCCTGGGCCCCTGCCCAGCCCCACCCAGACCCAGGACCCCATGCTCACTCCCCTCGTGAAGGGATATTGTGTTAATCAACAGCACAATGTCATAGTAAATGGCTGTTTTATGCCACTGAGGACAGGGACATTGGACATATGCAGGAACCAGATCTGTCATCAAACATTCTCTGAGAATCAGCTGTCACTCTTTCCCACCCCGCTCTCCTGAGGGGGTCACAGTGGGAGAGCGTGGGCTTCCTCAGATTTCCACTTGTCTTCATTTCCATGGAGAAAAAGATTCAATCTAGTTTGGTTTGGGGATTTTTTTTTTTTTTTGGCCTGTTTATGGGAGAATGCAATCCTAAATCTTTTCCAAGTTCCTGAACTTCTCTGACCATAGGCTTAGCTTGGACTATGTCTCAGTTGTGATCTTTCCGACTGAAAGAGCTCTTGGCTGCTCTGGTGTCCAGAGCCCTCATTTCCCAGTTGAGGCCCAGAGGGGTGCTGTGACTTCTCTCAGGTCACTCAGCAAATAAGGCACCAAATAACTCACACATTGAAAACTAGGCCCGTGGGAACCAGGGTCCACAGAATCAGACGCCAGTCTCCTAAAGTTCAAGTTCTCTCCAACAGAGGCAGGGGCGGTCTCTGGGCACTGATTCAATGGAGAAGGTGAACAGTACGGCCATAGAAAGAACTGTGCTAGATCCAGGCCTGGCCATCRTGCTGCCCTGCTCTGTCCTCGAGCCTGTCACCTCCCTCTCTGAACTGCAGTTGTTCATCTCCAGAATGAGCAAGTCAGGTCACTGGGTGAGGGCCAGCCCTGCGTACCCGAGTTGTACTGACCGTCCCTGCGCCCGCGTCTACCCCAGAGGCTCTGACCTAACTCATCGAGGCCTACACAGCACTGACTGGTCTTTAAATTTTTTATTAAAAGCTTAACAGACCCACAGTAAAGCTCAGCACATCTTCACCAACTGGACACTCCAGCATCTGAATCAGAAAGAGAGTATTTCAATCACCCGGCAGCTGCCCTTCTGTCCCGCCCCCCTGGCTCGGCCACCCCACCGGTCCCTGGGCTCTATTGTCTTGAACTCATGTGAATGAATCCTGCGTCCTTGGAGGTGGACACAGGGAGATTTGCCCGAGTGGGTCCACCTAGCTGTGGAGGGTTCGCTGTGATCTCTGCGTGGATGTCTCACTATGACTAGGTGACAATTTATCCACCTACTGCGGGTGGACTGGAGTCTCGGGAGATGGTGAAGGGTGTGGCCGTGAACCTCTACCCAGTGCCATCGGGCACACACCTGGGAGGGGAGCACGGGGTCGGCCCRTAGCCCTGTGTTGGGTTTGGCGGTTCAGGAGGCCCGAGTGCCCGTTCGCCTCCGGTCAGCCAGGAACAGGAGTTCCAGTTCGTCCACAGCCACACCACCTGGCCGTCCCTCTGTTGCAYGTCCTCCATTCTGATGGACATCCATTTGCATGTCCATGATGACAAATTCCAGCGAACATTCGAGAAAGCCTGGCCGCAGCCATCTCTGGAGCTTTTCCAGGGTCCCCAGCTTGGGGCGAGGTTCAGAGGTGGTGCTAGGGATAGTTCTCCAGGGAAGGCCTGTGTGAAGTCAGGAAGGAGCCGAAGACGGAGAGACGMGGAGAGAAAAGCCATACAGCTGCCCGGCCTGCAGAGGAGGAGGAAGGTGGCCCACCAAGGGGTCACCCACAGGACTCGGGAGGCCCCAGGGCGGTCTCTCCTGGCCCTGAGTAGAACCCGCCTGCCCCGTTCTCCAGCCCCACAGAGCTTGGCTTTTCTCTGGTGCTCACTCTTCGCCCCTGCCCCATGACACACGATCGGCACCGCTTTACTGCCCGTCTCTYTCAAGCAGAATACTTCCTCCCTGGGCTCACTGCCTTCAGTACTGCCTGGCACGTAGTAGGTGCTCAGTAAACCACGGTGGTGTGCTTGGACTCATACAGCCCCTGTGTGGGCAGAGAGGGAAAGGGACTTGCTGCTGTCTGTCAATCCCAGAGAGGCCTCTGGACACACACACACACACACACACACACACACACACACACACMCAGAGTCCCCAGGCCTTTCCCTTCCAGACTTCTTTCCATGTTCATGTGTTTATTTTAATCTGAATTCCCATGAATAGAGGGGTGTGTGTGTGTGCATGTGTGTGTGTGTGCGTGTGTGCATGTGTGTGTGTGTGTGTGTGCACGTGCACTGGAGAGGCATCTTAGGAGACCCAGCCCCAGGAGGGTCCGAGGGGAATGAAGACCTGCACACTTTCCTGTGACAGTGCCATTGCTTCCGGGAAGGAGGGAAGGAAAGAGCACAAGAAGGAAGGGCAGCYGGATCCTGGGAGCTGGCCGCAGGTCAGTGCCACGCCCTGGGACGACTGACCCACTGATGGAACGCCATCCGATACCCTGGGCCCTGGCATCCTGGCTCCCGGCCCGGCTGCCTCTCCATATCTGTTTATTTTGGTTTCAAATAACTGAGGTGAAGAGGAGCACGGGCCCTGGGCAGTACTCTGGAGGGGGAGGGTAGACAGCGTCCCCAAGCCCTGGGAAGAGGAAGGGGCAGCTGTSGGRGGGCCYAGGKGAGCAGGGAGAAAGCTGGTCTCCCCACCCACGAGGGTCAAAGTGCACCCTGACCCACACCCTCATGTGCACCCTGCACCCAGATGAGGGGGCACCCTGGGATGAGGCTTGGTCACCCAGCAGTGGCTGGTAGGCACTGGCCCAGGGATGGGCCGTGCAGCTGGCTCAGGGTGGCATCGGGGGTCTCCCCTCCTGTGCGTCCTGCTGTGCCTGGGTCCCCCAAGGCCTTCCTGAGCCGGGGCCATTCTCTGGAATACTGGTATATGTGCAAAGGGGGAGCCAGCCAGCGGGGCCCTGTAAGAATGTCCACCAGAATTAGCAGACCTGAGCCAGGTGCCGCGGCTCACGCCTGTATTCCCAGGGACTGGGGCGGGGTGGTGAGGCCAGAGAATCCCAAGTTCAAGGCCRACCTGGGCAACTTAGCGAGACCCTGTCTCCAGATAAAAAATTAAAAGGGCTGGCGATGTAGCCATGTGGCAAAGTGCCCCTGGGTTCCACCCCCAGTACGACAGACAGATGGATGGACACCAATCGTGGTGTCAAGGGGGCGGGGCTGTTTTCAGCTGCCTGCACCTTCCTGAGCCGTGACTGACGCTTCAGATGCCAACGGCCCAGCCTGGGACAGCCCAGCAGGTCAGGCAGCACAGGCAGAGCCTTGGCCTCGGCTGGCCTCGCAGCCCCCTGCTCTAAACCCACTCCCCCTACACTCTCCCAAGTGTCCTCCACACGAGCCCCTGTCCCTGCCCATGGCATCCCTGGGACTGCCTGTGTGAGCTGCCACTTCCTCCCAGGAGGAGTGTCCAATGGGAAAAGGCCCAGGCCTGGTGGCCATGCTTGGCTAGCCCTGGGCAAATTGGCCACCCTTGCTGAAGAGGCCTGTCACTTGCAGTCCCAGCACCCCCCCATGGGCCCTGGAGTCTGGGGATCCCTTGCTGTGTGACCCCAGCTGTCCCCCACCCCGTCTCTGGGTGATTTTCCTTCCGATAGCAGAAGTGAGAGCTCCAGGGTCCTAGGGGATTAAGTGGGATTCCAAACTGCCCGMGGGACCCAGCGGCTTCTTCCTCCCCAGGCCACCTGCAGAAGGGAAAGGCGTCTCCCACAGGCCAGGACTCATGGGTGCTCAAGTAGCCCATGGGCTGAGGCTGGACTGTCCCAGAGGCTGCTGGCTCTGGTGGCCGGCCAGTCACTTGGTCTCTCCRAGGCT